CACCTGTCAATGTTTTTTGTTGTGATGAGAAGTGAATACGACGCCTTATTACCCTGGCCGTTCGTTCAAAAAGTGCACTTTAAACTGCTTGATCAAGACAGAGTCCGAGACGCCTGTGATGCATTTCGGCCCGATCCCCAAAGTTCAAGTTTTAAAAGGCCAACTTTGGACATGAATATAGCATCTGGATGTCCAACTTTTATTTCTCACCAGGAGCTACGGCGCGGTGGATACATTCGAAACGATACAATGTTTATCAAAATAACAGTAGAGTCCTCTGGAATTCAAGGAGATATATGAACATGAAAAACGTTTTTAGGAATATTTTCTATCTGAACAATGAAAATTTAATTTTGATTATTTTATTGTATTTCATATTGAGATGACCTTGATTTATATATTTTAAGGTAGATATATTTTAAAAGAGACATTTGAGTATTGGTATTTAATATTTAAAGATGAAAAAACATATTAAGTTATCGCTATACAAGTTACGGTGAACAATTTTAAGCAGAGAAAATAACAAATATTATCTTTTTTACGGAAAATTTCTCTTAATTGTTCTTGTTTGTTTGTATTTATATACTGAGGAACCCAGCCTAAACTCACTTTTAAAAGACTGTCTCAGTAAAGAACCGCCTACTCATGCTCAATTTCGCGTGAAAAAAACAAATTGCCTGAAACTCTGGCAGGTGAAAGGCTTTATCGAAACCACAACTTAAATAAGTTTGCTTTGATTCACAATGATTTTTTGGCCGCGCTTGGGGGCGCCAAGTATTTTGCCCAGCCGCGGCTAGTTTGCACGTACTGGAAATTGAAAATTTGGCATTTTTTGCGGCGCTGTAAAATGCTTTGAAATGTTTGATTTGCACCATCTGCAGCTATCTGCCAATGAATTTTATACCTGTTCATATTTGTAGGTAAACCTCTGTGATGTGGAATTAGAATTCTTAGAATCCCAGCTGGCTGGTTCAAACAAGTCAAGAGGACTGTTAGTATCTTTCGATGTTACAACAAGATTTAATCCAATCCAATAATCTACTGCGATGTACAATTCTCACATATTCAACGGTCGTAACACAACGATCAACTAAAACATTCTAAGTTTGGTCAGAGGTTTTTCTACTATCCTTACGTAAGGCAGTATTTTTACACTAATTACATGTACAGTAAAAGTTCCCATTGTAATGTATCTAAGCTAAGTGACTATTAAAAAATCACTAGCCTGTTCCAGGCGTGGGGAGCGGTGCGAAGTAAAAAGGAGCGCGAAAAAATAAAAGCGAGGGAGGAGGAGAGGTGAGAGAAGGAACGGCTGTAAGATTTGTTTTAAATAGACTTTTCCGCCCACTCAGACCGCATCAGCTGTGGGTGGTCTTCACTTGTCAATCAAGACTGGTGTTACAGCCCCATACATTTATTATTTTTCTTGCGAATAAATCAAAATTTTTCATATTTAAAATTAATATTATGTATACATAATCTTACTAAAAACCTAATGTAAGACTTTCAGACCATAGAGAGCAGGAGAAGTATTCATCTTGTACAATGAATTTATTTACGGCTTGTACGCTCAGCGTGTACGTGACGAAAAAAGTATGAATCAAGTGACAAACAAATATCGCTCATTTCGATAGAAAGCCGTTTCAATACAGATCATTAACTCAAGCAATGAAAATGCACAACAATTGAAGGGAAAATTTACCAAACGCTGATTGAGTGGACCGCGTGAAAAAGTCGCTCAGCGCTGTGTTTGTTGCGAGTTCGAATTCTGCGTGACGGGACGTAGAGTTTGTCATCACCGCCGTATCGCATTTCTCTCTGTGATCGAAGACGCTCTATTTTGACAAAAACTGTCAAAATCAACCAATCAGAGGGTATACCAGGATCTGGTATACCGAACTCACTTTTGTTAAAAATCCTCACAAGCGTTCCCCCACCTCTCTCCCCAGTCCCCCTCTACTTTTTATCGCTTTCTTTACTTCGCACCGCTCTCCACTATCTGAACGCTTAGAAAAGGCTACAAAATCGCACGCTCCTTCACCTTATTTAGCCTAAGAAAATGCATGCAGTTACATCATTTTATATCATAAACATACTCGGACATTAGTCCCAGACTAAACGGCAATTAACTTGCCCTCAGTCACCCGTTTTCCGGGAAAAGCCAGACAAACAGGAACGAGGTGAGACATCTCCTTTTCTCGTTACAGAGTTCTCATTGGTGGAATTTGCTACTTCTCACCGAATTTTGGGAAGGTGCTCGCCAAATCTGTGCTCCAATAAGAATCACAATTCAATTCAATACAATTCAATTTTATTATTCATACTTTATAAAATATTTACACTATATATAGTAAGGTAGGAATACACTATCAAGTAGAAGAAGAAGGAAAAAAAAAAAGAAAATTAATGGCTTGGGTAGAAGTGTACGGTGGTCAAAGGAGCTTAGCTTTCGACCTAACCACCGCTATGTTATGATTGGAAATACATAATAAACGTGCGCTTGGTGCCATGGCAGCTATGGACGATTGTGCCAGCAGTCAGGTTATGTGAGACAGTCATATTACAATTGTTACCTTTGAGAGTTAACTAGAATTCGCTAATATTCTTTTTTGAACTTATGGTACCTAAGTGTCTTTATCTTAGTAGGAATCTCTTCCCAAGTTTCGGGTTATGGCAAACTCGGTAATTTGACCTTACACGTGGTACATGAAAGTTAAGATTTGAGGCATATCTGGTATTGTGTGAGTGAATATCAGACACTGCACCTTTACGAGGTAGTTTTGAAACACTTCAGGGATATTGGCTTCATTTTGTGAGATTTTGTGAGCTAGCAAGGAGATTTTGAGTTTAAAAATGCTATCTATGTTAAGTATATCTAGAAGTTTGAGGTAGGGTGCACTACTTTCTCCATTATGGCCAAAAAATATGCAGCGTATACATTTATTTTGTTTTGTTTGAACTTTAGTTAATCTACTTGGGTATGTGTTTCCCCAACTCATAATTCCATAATGAAGCTAGGGGTAGATAAGTGAGTAATATATTGTTTGAGGGTGTTTAAAGTTCAGAAATGGCGTAATCTGAAAAGGATTTCCAAGTTCTTAGATGTTTCGCTGTTAATGTGCTGAATGTGGGGAGCCCAATTTACATTTTTGTCAATGTAGATACCTAGGTATTTGATGTAGTTCTTTTCTTCAATATTGTGTAAATTGAGCTTAAGTTTATTTGCTCTTTGGGGGAAGGAGACTCTCATATAGTCGGTTTTCTTAAAGTTTACAGAAAGTTTATCAGCTGAGCAGTAGCTAAGAAGATGGTTGAATTCCTCATTTATAGTTTTTTCAAGGTCCTGTAGAGAATTGGAAGAGTAGAAGAGAGTGGTGTCATCAGCAAATCTTCTAATACTTGCCTTTTCTAAACAGTTGGGCATGTCATAGTTTCTTATATAATCTGGGGCGCCAAGCTCTTAGAAGCTTTTTAACAATGAAGTTTTACAAATGGCGAAAAGATACCATATAGTCACCTAAGGGCCCCGGGCTCCACAAGAGCGCTGCCCTGTTTACATAACAAATTAACGAGATGAACAAATTTTCCATTTTATTCTTTCAATCTGACTTAAAATGACCTAAAATCACTAAGTGGTCAAAAATTGTGACAAAGAAAAGAAACCTCGCTCCTTGTTTGCTGGTGCACAGGAGCCAAAAAAAGAAAGCAAACAATAAACTACAATCATCCTCGGAC